TGCATACCTCAGTTACAAAACTTTTGAAAGGAAGTCTCAGCCACAGAATGCATATACCTGTAGAGTTTTGCATGGGTTTTATATAAATACAATTTAAAAGAAAATAGCTGCTTGCACATTATACCAGAAAAACCTCCAAAACTGCAATTGCTTTGAAAATAGATTTTAGGTTTTTTGGAGTTTTCTGAGATGCTTGGTCTGTATTTTGATAATTGTGCATATTATGTAAAAATGTTGGTGGACCCATAAATGACCAGACTTTTTCTAAGAAAAACGTTGCTTTAATGCATTTCATGAATTTTTAATCTTATATCATTGCTTGCTAGTAATAGCAAATCTGCTTTTCTGCATCTGCTTTGCGTAGCTATTGTAAGGCTTTGAACTAATGTATGTATTTATTGCTTGAACTTCTGTGCATACCTTATAAAGCATAATGTCTGACAATTTAAATGGCTCATGTATTCTTGCTTCTATCATAAACTGATGATGGGGACTATGATCTTTTGTATACAGCAAATTTTAACTGTAGCACAAACATCTGTTTATGTATTGGTGAAATATACCTGTTTTATTTATCTTTTTGAGGTAAACTAATTTTTGATACTTTTCATTACTGTGTACTATGTTCATACCTTGAATTCTCTGACGTTAGAAGTCATGGTTGAGAATTGTAACAGCTGTTATATCCGTTCTGTATTCATGGCTTTCACTGCTGAATAAAATAAAGGACCAAACCTAGGATTTGAAAGAAAACTGTCTACCTCTAACACCAGGGAGTTATCAGATTTTATTTTACATAGTTTTAGTCTACAAAGACACAATTGCTTAAACCTAGTGGGCTTAAGGCTTATATTCTGTGTGGTTGGATTCATGGCGCAGTTGTACTGTTTGAAAATCAATTAAAATTTCACGTGAATGTTACAAGTATTTGGTAGAATTACCACTAACTGGGTTTTCTGTAGATAACTCAGATATGGAGACACTATCATCAGCATTCTGTGTCTACAGCTGCTTAACTTCATAAGAATGCATTTCTCTTTGTGATTAGGGACTCAAGAACAGTCAGAATAGAGCTACAGAACTACACTTTAAAATAAACATCCTGGACTTTAATGTCCCTTGGCAGATTCAGTCACAAAATCCAACAGTCTGTTTTCTAAAGTTCCTCCAGTCGGGCATTCACATTTTGGAGAATTTACTTTAGGCTTTAGACCATATACACCAATATTAACATTCATTTGAACATTCTAGGTTTATAAATACCATAAAGCTATTAGGAGCAACATGGTTTGCCCTTGTTACTTCACTAGTTCAAGTCAGTGTGAAAGGTCTTTGTCCATACAATTTGGCAAATCTTACTGAGCAAAAAGGATGTACATTTTACTATAGAATTAATGTATGAACAGTGTGTTACTGCTGTTGGTTGTAAAAAATGTATATGAAACATTTCATTCATTTGCTTACATTTCTGAAGTATAAATAAAAAGTCTAATTCTTTTTGACCCATTTATAACCCCTAGGATTTTATTCTTTTGAAGAAGGACATTATTCCACACCAAAAGCCCAAATCATAAATTGGTGTATAAATGGCACACAATTTGCTAAAGATATTTTCCTTGGGATTTGGGGACTCATAAAGTACACTCAATTCTAACCTGTTCTGCCCTTCCATTCTATTAGGAGCTGCCCTAGAGCCCCAAATTTGCCCTTCCCGTGTAATGTCGCTGTGTTTTTTTTCTAAGTAGAATTTGACATCACAAATACTGAATCCCAAAAGTGCAAGTAAAGTTTGTCTTCCTACCTTACTCTTTTCAGCTCTCCTTTTTTTCCCCCCCATTTTTCACTTTTTCTGCCCTCAAATGTCACACTATTCCATGACCCCTAGCAAAAACAAATGTTCATGCCTTAGTTGGGACACTTCCAAGTTCAAAAGTACCAAATATTAATGGAAGGCAACCACATATGCCAATGAGCGACATGTATGGTACCAAGAACAAACAACAATAAAAAGGTGATGTAGGGCCATTAGAACAGTAGTTTGGCTCTTTTTTAGCTTCTTTCTATATTTCTAAATGTGTTGTAAAGGAAAATAGAAAGAAAATGTGGAGTTTGAATATATGCATAATTTAACATTTTCTGCTATCATATTAAAACTAAAGAACTTTCTATTGAATTTTAAAGTGCTATAAGAGAATATAAAATTTAAAATAATTTTTCTTGAATATCACAAGTCCTTTCACTCCCAAAACTGATGAGTACAAACTGTAATAATACAAAATTGTACACTACAGTTATATTTTCATTCATTAAAGCCTTTTTAACATGATATGAATACAATGCTTAGATGTCTTGCCTTTAAGGAGAAACAGCACATCAGAGAATAAAATTAACAGCTGGAATTGAAATCAGAAACCATTTTTTCAGCCTTCAATATTAATATCACTTTGACTAGATGAACTATTTTGTGATAATGAAACATTCAAGCAGGAAACCATACTGAAAGCACTTGGCCACTAAACTATTTTTAATTATAAAAAATACAACTACCAGTTGCTTAGTAATCAGTAAAAGGAAAGAAATATTCAGAAATCTAAATTCTGCTCAATCCCCCCAAGCAAAAGCAGTGCTCCCTAGCAACTGAGTAAGCGGTAGTTTCAAGCATTTTGAAAGATGCTCCTTAAAAGAGAAGTTCTGACACAAATGTTTCAGAAGGAACATTGTATTTTCTAAAACTTTTTAAGAGAGTTAAAGATACAACATTGTGTAGTGGAAGGTGAACACAATTTGTAAGTGAAAAGATAGAGGTTCATGCTTCTTGTCTCTTACCTAAATCTATCTAACCCAAGGCAATTCATTTAAACTCTCTGGGCCAAGAATTCCTCATCTGCAAAGTGGAGAGGCTGAATTAGATAATATCTAGTGTCCCTTCCAGCCCTAAAACCTACTAATCTGTGAAAAAATTTTTTACTATCAGAAAAAAACAATTATTGCATCAGAATGTGAAACTTGACAGGCAGAAGGACATACAACTACCACAACTGGGCATCATTTTGCCTTTTTGTTTTTGCTCATTCACTGCCCACAGAAATCAAAATGAAGAAGTAATACCAAATTGCAGCAAGAGAAATGGAAGACTGAAAATTTTTAAAAATTATTTGTGAGAAATGGATTTTGTTGCAATGCATACTTATTTGGAAGTTGTTAGGTTTCCATTCCTGATCAGTTATTTGCATGATGCCTTAGGAAAAACAGCCTAAGTTCTCTGACTGTCAAGACTCACATGATATTTAGAAATTTAGAACAAGATTGCTTTTGCCATGGTACTTGGAGAGTCCAAGCATTTGACCTCCATCCAACTTACACATTAGTAGATAAAGCTCTTTCTTTTTTTTTTTTGATACAGCTCTTTCAACTATAGAATGAAAATATTCATAACACTTAGAACCTCATCACGATAGCACCTATACCTCTGTCTCCCCCTACCACATGGGAATAATTACATAGATCTACTTCTCTGGAAGGTTATAAAGATTAATTAGGACATTGAGATTACCACCAATAAAAATGTTAATTGTGGTTGCATTTCATTTTTATCTGGCAAAAATCAGGCAAGCTCTGTTTCCTAATGCTAAATGTGATAAGCTAGCAAAAGTCATGATGCCACAGCCAGAAATGGCCCTCTAGATATCAGTAATACTTATATCTCAATCTTACTGTTTTGGTTCCCCCCTTCCCCAACAAAAAAAAATGGGAGAAAGCCTTGAAAACAGGAAGCTGTAAGTTCCAATTCAGGTCTGAGACATAGTAAGTACTTCCCCATGAGCCTCTCAGTGTCACAGGGAACCAAGACTATAAGCTACAAATTGTTGCACTGGTCAAGAGGACATCCACCAATATGAATGTACCACTAAATGCATACATTAATCTGAACATACACTGCAGTCTACCAAATATTCATTTAGTAAGGTCCAAAAGAATAGAAAGTGATCACAGAATGTGAGAGAAAAGGATAAACAGAAAGGAGCAAAAGAAAACACAATCATGGTTAGTTATTAAAGAAAACACTCCTGTTCTGACTCAGGGAAAAGTCCTTTACCAATTTTTGTTGTAGATTTCAGAACTGAGAAGACCATCAACACTAAATTCTAAAAGCCGTATCATTCCTTGCTCAATCACTTCTGTGATCTCTGACAAGTGTAACAAGCATGGATATCTATGAGGGCCCCCCAGACGAGTAACATGTAGAAAGTTCTGAACAGGCTACACATAAACATAATGGTATGGAAGAGGCAAGGACTGATCTCATTCAAGTGCCCAAGGTGCCCCATTCCGTTCAGTCTCTCAAATTCAGTCCAACAAATATTTCAGTGCTTACACGGTCTCAGGCATTATGCCAGGAATGGGGACACAAATAGAGAAATTAACCACTCCTTGCCCTGAGGGAGGGCATTTGGAGAGAAGTGTAAAGGGGAACAGGCCATAATCCATATAAATAGGTAAATACAGAATAATGTAATTAGGTATCCATCCCATAGAGTAATGAGAATAGAGTCAGGAAGACCTGAGTTCAAATCCAGACTCAGACCTCAATAGCTATATAACCTGGGCAAGTAACTTAAGCCATCTGTCTCAGTTCCTCAACTGTAATGTAAAATGAAGACATTAATAGCACCTACTCCACAGGATTGTTGTAAGAATCAAATGAGATAATATTTTGTATAATGTTTCTCACAGCCCCTCACACATTGTAAGTAGGTGTTTAATAAATGCTTGCTTCCTTCCTTCCTAAAGTAAACTAACTTCAAGAGTTGGAAAGAACTTACAATGGGGGGAGAGGAGGGAGATTTGGAAACATCTCCTTTAGAAAGAGAAACCCAAGCTAAGTTTTTACTTCTTGAGGAAATAAACTTTTTAAATCGATGCCACTTAATTTCATAGCATATTCATTTCCAAATATACTTTCCCATTCTCCCTTAAATGTAGCTAACCTTCCTTTGGACCAAAGGTTAAGAAATTTAAAATTAAAAAAAAACAAATGTAGCAAAACCAACTAACACATCAACTAAGCGCATGTGCTAATAAGTGCAGAAGTATCTCACAGCCATAATTCCCCATACTTTTCGGACAAGTGATGTATTTTCTGTAGTGCTGAACTTGGTTATTATCAATACAGCCTTATAATAATTTTATTACTGTTGTTCTCAGGCCAAGCATTAGAGGATTTAAATACAAGCAAAGAGCAAGACAGTCCCAGCCCTCAAGAAGCTGACACTCTAATGGAAAAAGACAATACGCAAAAGGAAGCTGAAAAGGGTTCAGGTGGAGGCAGCCAAATCCAGGAAGTGAAAAGCCAGCCAGGGCCACTCACCAAAATGGAGACCCTGGAAGGAGCTCTCCGATGGATGAAGGGGGGATGGCATGACAGAAAATGTTTCAGGATGAAGAGCCTCCAAGCCCTAAGGAAAGCTCACAATGGTAGTCACTGAATATGTTATTTATCATGAAAAGTAGCACTATTTCCCACTCACCATTGTAAAGTTTTTTGGTTCTTGGCTTTTACACACACACACACACACACACACACACACACACACACACACACACACACACACAAAGAGCAGAGGTATAGTGGAAAGGGCAAGTTCTTGAGTCAGAGGACCAAGGTTCAAACCTCAATTCTGACATATACACTGTGTAAGCCTCAGTTTGTTAATTATAAAATGGAGTTGCACTACATGGCCTTCTAGCTCTAATTCTATAATCCAAAATGATGTTTTCTTGAACATCACGGGCAGGACAAAGGCTGCTCTAAAAGGACATGGAAAAAGTAAAGGCACTGAAGAAGAAATGAGAAGAAAATAACACACAATAAACAAATATAATACGGGAACTTAGGGGCCATTATCAAAGATAGAATATTGGACTGGTCTGGATAGATAGACCACTACTCTGAACTGTGTCTTATGTTCTAAATACGATTAAATATATCAAATGGACTAAGAATGAATCTGTGAGCCATGGGTGGAGGGGAGAATGGGGAAGAAATCTAATTCATTTTAGTACAGGGCTAGATAGCATGGAGGTAGTGGAAAGGATACTGAACTGGAGCCTAGAAACCTTGGTTCTCTTCTTGAATCCATCACTATATATATACTGGTTAATGTACTTCACCCTTTAAGATCCCTTTTCCTCATCAGTCAAATGAGATGGTTACTATAAGGATATGAGATTTATCATCAAATATGGGTTTGTATCCTAGCTAACATTTTAGTACCTGTGTTACCTTTGACAAGCCACTTAATCCATCCAGGCCATTTCCTCTACTACCCCACCACTATCTACTCATTTGTAAAATAAGAGGTTGGGACTAGCTGATCTCTGTGGTCCATTCTAGCCCTAAATCATATGATCCTATTATGTATCCTGAATCCCTCCTAGCTACAGGATTCTATGAGTCATTCACCTAAGTAAACCAGATGACAAAATCTGGTGCTATTAAATT